CCCCCCCCACCCCCAACACCCCGGTCCCAAAAAAAAAAGGAAAATTTACATAGAAAAAAAAAATATTTTTCATGAAGAAACAAAATTTTATACGAAATTTCTAAGTATATCCACCCCCCCCCCAACCCCCACGCAGCAAATAAAAATAAAATAAAATAAAATGTTAACTTCTCCCCGATTTACTTCACTTTCTATTATTTCAAGAAAGATTGGTTTTTTAGAATATTAGAAATCATTCTTAATTTTGAAGATCAAAATTAACTTTTATATTTACGATTGATGTGTCGATATCTAACCTACTGTTCTAATAGCATGTTGGTCTATAGTATCGAAATCATTTCCCAATGATTGGGACATTCCCGAATTTTGTTTAATTTTCTTGAAACTAATGTATGTCCAACTTTATAGGGTTAAATTTGATATCCACTATGATTGGTGTTCAAAATTTTGAAATGGGGAATGTTTTATCAAAGATTTACGTGACAATTTAACGAAAGTTTGGATGGTTTTCTATAATTGAGAATGATTATACAACAATAATGTAAGATTGAAGATTAAAATGCTCATGTTTAACTTTAAATTTTGAAATTAAAGCAATAGGTGAATGACTATTTGTGCAATTCTTCCACATTTATCAATAGGATAAATAAAATATTATTTTTTTCAAATTGGACCCTCATTCTAAAAGTGGGTTGATAAATTCCACAAGTACATAATATCAACTTTTGAGTTCGCTTTTCAAAAAAAATTTCACGTTACTCATAAGTTGAAATGTAATGCAAATGAGAATTAGGGATATCGAAATGTTCAAGCCTTCACTCCATCTCAAATGGAATGGAGATTTCTAGTTAGTTATGAACGGAGAATATGGTTTCCATCTCGACTCTTATTTTTTATTAATATTATTTAAAAATGATATTAAATAAATAAATAAACAAAAATGAGATAAAAAATAAAAATATTTTAATTCCCGTCTCCAAGAAATCCCTAGGGGGAAGGGGAAGGGGAAGGGGAAGGGCCGTTTTACCTTTTTCTTTTTGCTTTACTTTGACCATTCCAATTGCTTGAACTCTTGTTATAGAGTTTTCTAATAGCCTTGTAGCTAGTTGAAAAGATAGTTAGAGGAATCTATTCGAAATTTGTCCTAATTCGATCTTTTCGGCGAAGGTAGATCACTCGCTTCGACAATTGTGATTGTGCTTTCTTACGAGGAAAGTGTATGGCCTAAAGCAAAGCTGTCTATGAAGCAAAGCTTCTCCCCTTTAGTAGTAATACTCGACTCGGTCGGTTATGGCCACAGCCGTGCTCCTTCTCTGGAACTCCTTTCAAAGGAATTGAATGTGCCAAGGGAGCTCTCAATGATTAATATTTGGATTAAATAACAATATTATTGCATCGTAGACTAAATTTACAAATTCAGTTTGATTAACGGAATATCTACTAATAAAGACAAATATTAATCAAGTTCGTAAAAGCATTATTAATTCATGAACTTAGTGTAATAATCAATTAATTTCAAGACAAAGATTACAAACATGTTGGAAAACTTTTTGGTACGTGAACATGGAATTTATGATGGCTATTCTCCTAGCTAAATAATTAATTATGATTGTACCGTAGACTTTTAAAGACAATGAATAGGAAATAAAAAGTCGAGCAATGTTATGTGTACAAAATTTGGTTAAACAATAAGTGTGGCAAGATAAAGGTCAATGATTTCAAAAACAATTTTTGAAATCAATGTCCCAGATCTTGCCATTTTGTCAAACAATTTTGTATACATGGCATTGCTTTACTATTTATCTACGTATAATGCTCCTCTGCCAGGCCTGGCAGAGCCGACCTCTCACATGAGGAGGGACTTGTCTCATTAAAAATTACCCCAAAACTACCCACCCCACCTTGTGTTGTGTGTGTTCGGTAGGGGTTCCCCGTACACCAAGGCTGGTCCGTTTATCTACAAGTTGGGTGGGTCCTATGCCTTGTTGAGCTTAAGATGAATTAACATACAATAAAAAAATGAATATTTATATTCACATCGGAATTTTTATTATCTATATTATATTTACTTGCAAGAAAGATTCTCAATAATTGTTTACTTCTACGTTCATGTTGTCAACATTTTTATATCCTTAACCTTCAATTAATTAGTACATCTTGACTTTGATGGCGATTTTTGCCAAATACTCTACTAGCATTCATTGAAATGAGGGATGAATGTTATCAAACTATTGCATTTCTTATTTATTTAAAAATACGATAGGCAAATAAGTCTTTCTACGTCCTCCTAACAAAATTTTTTTGACAAAAAAAATGCCGTTAGAGACGAGGCTTTCAAATTAATAGAAGGTTGAAAAAGAGTTTGACGGGAAAAAAATTTGGCGACATTAGTGTGAACATGATCAAATGTTAGAAGTATTCATTGTAATTAAATTTTGGTATAATTAACAAAAATTAGTGTCCAATGATTTAAAGCATCAGAAATTAACATGTACTAGAAAACACATCAATAGAAGGAAAATATTTGTTATTAACACATTGTTTTACAAATGCCATTCTATTTTTCCTTTAGCTAAGAAAAGAAAAGGGGGAATAAGTAAACAGACATCAAATTATTCAATATACCAAGTAACCAGAAACAAGAGGAGAAATAGTGAACTTGCAGGATTAAGAGAGTGTGAAAAGTTACAGAGAAAGATCAGCCAGGTCGAAAGTCCTTTCGACCGCTTTGCACCAGGATGCCACTTTATTCTTCCTGAGTTCTTCGGCTAAAATGGGGTGGAAAGTTGTGGCTTTTTTCATCTTTTCACCTGAAGAAAATATCTCGTTTTCTGTCCAAACGCCGACTGCTAATCCAGCAGCATAGGCAGCTCCAAGGGCTGTTGTCTCTATATCAGCTGGTCTTATTACCGGGGTACCTAAAATGTCCGCCTTCAAATCAAGAAAATACCGATTCAGACAAGTATATGACTCCAATAGGAATTGTATGATTACTTCAATTTTTGTGAAGATACAAGAAACCAAAACATTGATCACCCGAGATTTTTTTTTATTCCTTTTTCGCTGACAAAAAAGAAATTTATTGCTAAGAGGAAAAACAGAACTAATACCATATATGTACACATTTGAATTCTCCAAGCAAAATAATTCAAATGTGACACGAACTAATGCCATATATAGAAGGTCCATAACATGGAGAAATAGAATAAAATCTTTGGCAGGGTGGATAGTACCAAGAGAAATGATTTTCAGTCTCCAAGTATAAAGCAGAATTGTCAAGAAAACAGTTTGTAATCCTCTTATCAGGAACTATGGATAATTCTGGGAGACATGTTCAAAGGTCTGCATGTTGACTCAAGGACGTAAAAATCAATGAAATGGCAAGAAAACCCAGCCTGGGAGGCTGCAGGGTTTGTGCAGCCAAGGCCAAAGAGATCCCTTAAGGTCAAAGAATCCTACAACCCCTTTCCTCCTACACTTCCCCGACCTTAGGACTGAGCTAATAATTTCACAGAAAAAGATGGGTTAAAGAAGCTCTTAGTATCTATCTTTAGTACAGCATTATATTGGAGAATTTGAAAAGGCAGGCATTCCACCCGTATGAGTTTCAGAGAAGAAACTTCCATTACGTAGGATAAGATGCATATTTTAATCAAACTGAAGAAAGACATGAAGTAATAATTGAACTGAAGTGCTAACGACCGTTTCCAAGGTCTTTGTAAGGCTCAGGACTAGGTTGCAATTTTAATTTTAAAAATAAATCGCTGTCTACTGTGCTTCACCTTTATTGTTTTAACATAGCAGATCCCAACCACTGATAGAAAGAGATGTTTAAGTTAGTCAGGCAGTCAACATTAAATTTTGTTAGTTTTGTATGGACACGGATCTATGTATTCCGTGCCTGCATCCTAAGCCATCCTCCTTGAGAGTTTAAGTTTGGAGATGGCTCCAGATTTAGTGGAGTTAAAGGAGAAGATTCATTTACCATACCGCTCTTAAGTGTGAAACAAGACTTCAGTGAGTTAATTTTGATTTGCGAAAACAGGGATACCAACAAATTTGAAGCAGAACCAAAATGCTTCATAATATTGTCAGGCCAAATAAAATCATCAAGAAGAGTTGTCTCCAATGATGAATGAGTTGAAAAAGTGGTCCTAATTCCTTAACGTTGTAGCGAAACCCAATGGAAACCATTAACTGCAAAATTTGCTATCGGTTCGTAACTAAATAAACATAGAGGGGCCGATAAGCACCTAAAGTTCACGATTGTTGCCATTATAACATGATTAATGCTATCTAACACCAGATTAGGTGATCACACTTGATAATTCAATTAAATGAATCACGTAACATTACATTTAAGCAAATATATCATTTAATGCCACCTAACTGGTGCTGAATAGCATTACTCTTATAACAGCCATGGAAAAAAATGTTGAGCAATGCAATTTAATAAATGCAGGAAACAATACCTGAATTTGCATCAGAAGATTGTTAACTGTTGCACCACCATCCACTCTAAGTAAGAATTCCCCCTTAGCATTCTTAGATTCACCTTTTTCCCCTGCATCCTTGTTCATTGAATCCAAGACATCTTTCACCTGAAAGCACATGCTCTCAAGAACGGCTCGAGCAATATGAGATTTGTTTGTAAACCTTGTGATCCCAATACAAACTCCTCGAGCATCATCACGCCACCATGGGGCAAACAATCCATTGAAAGCTGGAACAAAATAAACTCCTCCTGTTGAATCAACCTGCAAAGCCAGCTCTTCAATCTCACTTGCACTCTTAATTACGCCAAGGCTGTCCCTCAGCCACTGAACAGCTGCTCCAGCAATGGCAATGGAACCCTCTAGAGCATAGTTGGTGGGAGCTTTCGGCCCAAGCTTATATGCCAAAGTGCTCAGTAGCCCATGATTTGACTTAATTACCTCCTCGCCCGTATTGAGAAGTATAAACGCCCCTGTTCCATAGGTGCTTTTAGCCTCGCCTTTCCGGCAAGCCTGTCCTACCATAGCTGCATGTTGATCACCCAAACATCCAGATATCGGGATCCCAGTAATTGGCCATCCCTTGCCAATGTTTCCAATTATCTCGGCATTACTAACAATTTTTGGCAGAAGCTCAGCAGGAATTCCCAATGCATCCAAAGTGGCTTTATCCCAATCTAGTGTCTTAAGGTTCATCAACATAGTTCTCGAAGCATTTGACATGTCAGTTACATGTAAACCATTATCTGTCCCTCCTGTCAAGTTCCAAATCAACCAGGTATCAATAGTTCCAAACAAGGCATCTCCCTTCTTCACGGCTTCCTTTACAGCATCCACATTTTCCAACAACCACAACAGCTTCAGTGCACTGAAATAAGTGCTTATGGGCAAACCACACGTCTCAACAAAATGAGTTCTTCCCCCAGGTAACTCTTTCTCCAATTTTCTATAAACAATAAGTTTGATTGAATCCCAAACAACAAGAAAATACAAAACAAGTTAAACTCCAAAGAAGTGACTGATAAAATTCAACAATGATGAACAACCCTAAAAATGACAATTATGAAGAATGATAAAATATTAAATAACACATGATTTTAGTATGTGCCTCGGCCATCTCCAAAGGAGACACAAAAAGGCACCAAAAAATGGTGCAAAATGTCTAAAATGTAGCACCAAACTTTGCAAAGCCAATTTTACCCTTTGTTTTCATTTTCTAAACAAAACAATTAATGGTATAGGTGTCATTTGTGTTATATATTTTTTAATAAAAAATTATTATTATTATTATTATAAATTTTAATAATGTAAAAAATAATAGTTAATGAATTTAATATTTTTGTTAATGGTACTATATTTTTTATATTTATTAAGGAATTTAATATTTTCGTTAATTTAACGTAATTATTTATTTATTAATTTATGCAGTTGGAAAATAAGTAAAGAAACAATTTAAAGAGGTGGCCACGGGAATCAAAATTCTAAAGTAAACACAATCCTATTCACACATCAATCATAAACCAAATAAAAAATTTAAAGAGATCATCATTTTAGTGTAAAGGAAAAACATATCCTCATTTTCTATTACACTGATTTCAGTTTAACTAAAAATAAGAATGAAAAATGAAGAGAAACTCACCTGCATATTGAACTGGTACGGACATCCATCCAAACAATGGCATTGTAGAGAGGGAGCCCAGTAGATTTGCTCCAAACAACAGTTGTCTCTCTCTGATTGGTCAAACCAATGGCTTTCAATCCATTGTCAACATTGTGGCCAGCAGCAGTGGCCTTATCAACAGCCTTTGCTATGCACACTCTCACACTCTCGAGAATTTCCATTGGATCATGCTCCACCCATCTGCCAAATAGTCAAACCACATATTAACCATCTCGTCTAAAGGCCCCCATGAGTTCATATAAATCTTGTCTTCATGTCCCTCACTTTCAGATTGATTTTCATTTTTATTTTTTCAGAAACGGTGACCGCACTTAACCCAGACTTTTGCGATCATCTTATCTATATAGGATCGTATATATTCATATAAAAGGCGTATTCAGAAACGACACGGCGGGTTTTGCAGATTGACATAGATCAAAAAAACTGAATCTTTACAGACAACAAGTATATCCATACATAAAAGATTACCCTGATTGTGGATAGAACTGGGTGAATTCAACTTGGTGGGATCCAATGGGAGAAGCAGAGCCGTCATAGATGATGAATCTTGTGCTGGTTGTACCTTGATCGATGGAACCAATGAATACTTCTTCACCTGACATTTTTTTTTTCTTTTTGGTTTCTGTTTCTCGGTTTTTTGGGGAAATGACTGGCAATAATAGAGACAAAAAGAGGCTTTTAAAGCCGTTAAGATGATAAATATTAGGCATAGATTAGCATGGAAGCTTCTTTTGATTAAAGGGAGCTTATCTGTGGGAAATTTAGCATTGCGGTCCTCTAACTTTTTACACATTAATCAAGTAGATTCCTAAATAATTTTTTTCTAACTTTTAAGTCCTCAAAGTTTCATCATCAGTGCATGTTGATCTATACTGGATCCCACCCATTTATCCTTTTTTTTCTGTCAAACATTCACTTTTCTTGCACTTAAACTGATTTGAGTGTTGTTTCTGAGTTTCTCTTCCAACAAGAATAAGATGTCACACCTGCTTTGATTACGAGCTAAGAGCATTTTGAAAGACTTTCTAAATATAAAATGCTCTTGAATTTAGGGAGTCGGTGCTTAAAAATAAGTGCTGAGAGATTCTCTGTATATTTAATAAGTTACATATTTCAATACTTCAATGCTTAAATTGTTGAAATCACTTTTGAATTAATTGTGCATTGACATTAAAAAAATTGTTAAATAAAAGATGAGAAGATATTAACAAATATTTCTTGAAAAAAGCAAAATTAAGAGTTAAAAAATAAAGTATTGTTTGAGTGTATAAAAAAATTATTCTCTAAAATTAAAGATGTTTAAGCACATTAGCATATCAAGTTTGTCTTCTTTAGAGATTTATGTGACCTCATGGATGGAAGGGCAAAAATAACCCTCCATAGCCATTACATGCAAAATAAGTGACTATGTAATTAAAAATAATGTTGTGTAGCATTAGTCTGAGATAATATTGGAATCCACCACCTCATTGTCTAGTTAATTAAAAGGTAATACAATTTATCATTTGTCTAAGAGACGCGAGCCCCGATTTATTGCTCGGTGAATGAAAGTGCATTATAATTTCACCGGACAATTAGCCAGGGGCTCATGCCTCATCGACACAAATGTTGTTGGTAAATGAAAGGTTTGATCGTTAAAAATAAATAAATAAATAAAATTGATTGAAGCTCCATGTGACTTTTTTGTAATAGTTTTGGGAATGCAGCTGCAAAATTCCCTTTATTTAGAGCATGTTTGGCCAAATTTAAAATCTAATTAAAATTGAAAATATAGCCGTTATTGGATCTCACTGATCTAATAAAAGTCAACAATAATGATTAGTTTATCAATTTTAATGCTATTTTAATTTCTACCGAACACGTCATTAATGAGGCCTATTGTACCAAAATAAGAGAAAACGTTGTGGAAGTTGATTAGTTTTGGTATAGAAAAAAGAATCTACAAATAACATAAAATTAATGTAATATAGATTGTATTTAATTTTAGTTTTACTACAATGTTTGTTTATTGGCGTTTGGGGATTATGTTTTCGCTTATTCTTTACAATTACTAATAATCTCCTTGGTCTTAACGAAGCTTGCAAATGATTTACACAATTCTTATTTGATTTTGTGAAAAATGAATTTAGAACGTTTGGTTAAGAAATAGGAAAAATTATAGGTCCACGTAAAAATTTATTTTACTCGGAGAACTTGCGATTGAAAATGAATTTGATGAAAATTGACTTAAAAAAAAAATCAATAGGAAACAAGGACTAAATAGTTGACGATAATGTTAAACTAAACACTTTGAAATCTTGGCCTTTACTAAATCTATTGGTCCATTGAGTGTTGCTCCTTGATCCATGACTCGCGAGACATGATGTAAATGTTGGGAAATATTTAGATTCAAATATGCTAAATTAATCAATAACAAGCAACAAGTCACGTAATTATCATTTTCAAATGATTAAGGTAATTAATCCAATTAACCATAAGTCAAACGATCACATAAATGTACATATCAAAAGCAATAAAATAAATAACACTAAATATGATCACGGAGGAAAATCCCTTCTCAAGCTCAAAAACCTCGAGGTAAAACTCATCAATAAAATTTACTAGAAAAATTAACTTATAATTAGTCCAGACATCAATAAACCTTAGGCGCATCGCCCACCTAACTTGTAAATAATCAAGGATTGTGAGATCTGTACTTTCCAACAACTCTAGACTACTTTTTCCTTCGCGTGGATCTCAAAGAACGAACTCGTTCTGGAGCGCTAGAATTTCAAACGCCTCTTCTCCAATTTCAGAACTCTGAAAACTTTCAGGTGAAAATAGGATTTTTGGTGTTTGATCATCATCTTTTGTATTTTGATCTGCAGCTGACAAGAGAAATATGAAATATGGATTTGATCTTCAAAGGATGTTCTCTTGAATAAAATTAAGGCTCAACCAATAATGAAACGATGTTTGGAATGGAGTATGAATAATTGATCATGTTGTTGAATCAAGAGACCTTTGGAATGATTTTGGATCTTCAATAATATGATCTTTATAATGAAATAATCATTAAACACACTTTGGAACATTTCATGGCTTGTATATTTTTAATAGGTAGTGTTTAGGGTGAAATAAGAGTTGGAAAACGGTAGTTTTCAAGTGAACTAGGGTTCCTGAATTTTGCATCGCCGCTTGAGCACTGGCCTTGCGCCAAGCGAGGGGCGAGCTCCCTATTCTGAGCGCATGAGCGTCATCTTGGTGCACCATGAGCAGTCGTCTTCTTCGTTTCTTGATCTTCTTGAATATTCTTCTAATTTTTTGAGGATTCTACAAACTCCAAACTATTTTGAGTTTAATTATGACTCAAAAATTTATGATTTTGAATACGATAATTGTCAATTACAAAATTGGACTTAACAGTAAAGAAACAAATTTCATAAATAACGGATCTCATGCTTAAAGTATTTATTTTAATGCAATGTATGCTACCAGTATAGTTTGCTGGAAATATAAAATCTACAAATTACAATTTCTTTATAATGAATACATAAAACACGATTCAATAAGATTTTGGGCAAATTAATCTTTTCACTAAAATTGAGAAATCTTAGATGGAAGTGAGGGGGAAAATGAAATTGTTGTTGACTTTGGGGGTTAAGAGTGAATGTCCATGACCTGGAGGGGAGGGGGGGGGGGGGGGG